TTTTTATTAAATGGTAGTTTGATTAGGCTCGTAAAAGAATATGGTTTAATTTAATATTTAATATTTAAATAAATTATATAAATTAAACTAAATTGTATAATATATATATGTATATATACATACAAAATTTATATATATATAATTTATTTTTATTATTTAATTATGTACTTATTATTGTTATTATTTTTTATATTTATATTTCTTTTATTAACTAATAATTTTTCTTTTTTACGGGATGATCTTTATTAATATGGTTCAAACACTCTTTAATAGTATAAGTATATTTGCCATATAATGTGTGCTTACAGTAGTTGGTTGATAGATAGTAAATTTATTCAATTAAATAAGTTGAAAAAAATTTCACATATTTGGCATTTAAGAAATTTTTTTAATAATTTTTTAAAAAATAATAAATTTAATTCATTCTATTTTTATAAATTATAAATTAAATTATAAATTATGATTTAATTTGATTTATAAAAATTATAAATTATAAAATAAAATTTAGTTTAAATTTGAGTGTTACACCAAATTGAACTAGACCATAAACATCTTATGTATAAATATTACAAAAATTGAAATTTATTCTAATCACATATAGAATTTTTTTTACCTAAGATTTCAAAAGTCACCTGAGCAGGCGGGATGCTTTTTTTTTTTTTAAAAAAAAATCCCTTTGTGAGAATTTACTTAATATAATATGCTATATTAGTTATGAGTTATTCACGTAATCATAAAAAGAAAAATTATCCTGTCATCGGTATCGGAAAATGGGGAACACTCCAGTACCTACACCGAATATATGTTTGAAAACCTTGTATGCGTGGAGAAATCATCAATTGTCACGTTCATAGAATTCAGAACATAGAACTCCATTTCTAACTACTCTTAGAATTTCAATATTGGCCCTTCAACTTTTGATTATCTCAATGGGGCCTTCTTCCCCATTCAAGGTTAGGCCGCGCCAGCAAAGCTCCGGCGTGACTTGAACATTTGCCTCTCGTCCTTTCTCCTCTTTTTCTTCTCGGTCATCGGCCGGCGGACAAAGTCGATCATTGGTCCCTATTTCATTCTCCTAATAAGACAGAAAAAAAGTAAGGTCTTTCCTGTGGTTGCTACGACGAAGATGACGGCGACCTTCTTTTCCTCCTCCGACAGCAGCGACCGACCTTCTTGTCTTGATCCCTGTCATAGGCGAAGAATCACTATCCCCCTCCCGAAATCGGGTGGATTTGCGGATTTAAAAGCCGGTTAACCAGTGTTCTGAGGCAGCCAGCAGGATGGCGGAATACGACGATGTGCAGCGCGGGGCTTTTGCTGCCGGTACTCCGGCGTTACTGCACAGCCAGGATACCACCACCAACGGCGAGAAGATCAACTGTCGGCTTGGTTTTCGGATGTGACATGCTCGCTGCTGGACTAGCCACACGTTGACACATGGCGCGTTCTCATTCAGTCACCAAAAAAATATTTGGATGCTGAAATGACAATGCTACCCCTTTACGTTCTTTGTATTTCAAGAGTGCCCTTACTTCTTCTATTATCCAATTTGCCCTCAACCTTTTATTCGAAGGACAAGTATGCCCTTAGACCTTTCATTCAATTAAGGTTGCGTGCTTCCGCTTTAATTTCCCTAAATATATTAATTTAAACAAATTTAATTATATAAAAATTAAATTTTTAAGTATTTCTTATAATTCTACTTAAGAAGGATAATAGAAAATTAAATCTAATAATAACCCCCAACAGATTGGCATAATGTTTCCCTTAATAATAATAATAATAATAATAAGTATTCATATATCATTCCATTTAATAATAAAATTTAAGTTAATTCCATTATATTTTATATATTAATTATTTAACATTAAATTATATATTTTTAAATAATAATTAAAAATTATAAAATTATTATCTTTTATAACATTTCATCTTTATAAATTAATAACTAAAAATATATTGGAACAAAGTAGATTAAGGAATTTTTATAATATTTTTTTTCCTATCCATAGACACCGTAAAAAAAATATTAATCCATTTTTGCTAAGGCAGACATAGCAAGCCTCAGTCACACGCTTTCCTCTCTCTTGGTTTAAAATGGCCCCTTCAACAATTACACATTCGAAACTCTAATTCCTTCCTGCACATTACATTGCCATTACCAATTCATTGAGTTTTCTAGGAAGGCCATCAATACTGTTGCACTTTTTGAAAATATTTTTAACAATTATTATTATTATTTTTACAATCTCTATTTGCTCATAATTTTTAATTATTTTAAAAAAGTTTTATTTACAAATTTTACTTTTTTATCCTTGGACTTTCTCCATTCGTTTTCTCTTTTTTTTTTTTTTCACTTTTAATGCATTAATTCTGTTTTTACAAGTCCTTTTAAAACATTTATGCATAATAATTAATTGAAATTTCATTCAATTTTATATTTTGTGTCAATGGATTGAACCCGTGCCTGCAGATGAACTAAAGCGTAATGTAATATTAATTAATAAAAATTTAAAATTTTAAAATTTATTTTTGATCTAATAATTTCCTTTGTTTCCGTGGATATTTTATTCCTTATGATTACTTGTTATTACAATATTTTTTAAATTGATAAAAAATAAAATAAATGGGCCACATCTTGCCATCCATTTAAACCTTCTCTAGTTTACTGTGGTTAGGGTTTGATAAATGGTGGAAGAAGCACACCACACACACATATATAACATGCACCAAGTATTATAATATTAAAAACTTTATTAGATGTAACATCTTGAATTTTTAAAATAAAATACGATAAAATGGTATAAAAATAAATAAATATATAAATAAATACATAAATAATAATAATTATTATTATAATTATTATTGTTATTATAAAGAGAAAGATTATGCTGATTTGTTCGATGCTAACTTGGAGTGATGTGACACAAAATTAGTAATACTTACTCGACTTTCTTAGAGCGTGAGAGAATGGAAAATGTGAAAGTAACGGAGTAAGAAGGAAGTAGAGTTTCCTATACGTAATTGTTGATCGACATGGCAAGCTAGGAGGGATAAAAAAGCTAGAGGAGGATTTCTTGTGTCATGCTCTTAAAAATGGATTAATATTTTTTTATGGTATCCATGGATAAAAAAACTTTATAAATAATTTTTAATCTTGGATTTAAATGGTAAATTACGTCACAATTGTTTCAACTTTTTTTTATTATTGATTTACAATTACAAAGTGTCTTAAAAGATAATAATTTTATTATTTTAATTTCTATTAACATAAAATATATTAATACATTATATAATTAATATATAAGATATGGTGGAATCAATTTAAATTTCATTATTAATTATTAATAGTTAATTATATATGTATAATAATTTTATAACTTATATTTAATTATAAAATAAATTAATAAATGAATACATAAATTATTATTATTATTATTTGTGTAACGGGAAAGATTATGCCAATTTTTGGGGTTATTATTAGATTTAATTTTTTTATTATTCTTCATGATTAAAATTGTCAAAAATACTTAAAAATTAAGTTTTATATAATTAAAACGTTTCTAAATAAATTAATTCAATAGAAATCAAAGCCAAAGGACACAACGGTAATTAAATGAAAAGCGTATGGAGATGCTTTTCCTTTTAATATAAAAGTGAGGTTCAATGGGAATAAGAAAAGGCCCACGCAGAAATCCAAAGTAGCTTGGGGGGCAGGATTGTTATTTAAGGATCAAGATATTTTTAATGAAGCGAATGAGGGCGACTCACGTGTCACGCTTGTCCGCTCTTAGCATCACCAAAGAAGCCACGCCGGCCATTGATCTCGCCAACGGTGAGCTTGCTTGCAAGTTGAGATGGTGAGCATGGACATGCACCAGGACCAAGCTTTCAAGTTTAGGCCTCCTTTATTAAGTTCCAAAAAGAAGCAAAGGGCATTAATTACCCAAGATCACCGGTTAACCGGCCATTTAGTCAGCCAATCTTCCTGATTTCGTGTGTGTGTGTGTGAGAGAGAGAGAGAGAGACGTCTTTGACCTAAGAGAGAGAACGAGAGAGAGAGATCAGTCATCGTCGTTGAAGAAGGAAGGGAGGGCCGCCGTCATCATCGCCAGAGCCATAACAAAACGACCTCTCTGTTTTCTTTTTTAATTTTTAAGTTTGATTAGGGGAAAAAAGGAAGGGAAAGGAGCCAAAGACCAACCTGTTGACCGGCCAAGGGCCGAGAAGAAAGAGAGAGAGAGGGAGAGAAAGTGGGGAGAAGCTATGTTCACGTTGGCCCTCTGCTGGCCGTGTCGTGAACCTTGTGGTCTCACCTTAAACTTAATGGGGAAGAGGTCCTCATTGACGCAATCAGAAATTGAAGGGTCAATGTTCAAGTTCTAAAAGTAGTTACAAGGTGAATCTTAGAAATTGAAGGGCCAAATTTAAATTTTAAAAACAAGTAGAAGTTGATCAATAATTTAATCCATCTGGCAATCAGTCATTCGCCCACGTAGACCTGGGTTTTCAAACCTAGAAATTGGCTGGGGTCCAACGATAGGATTAAACACCATCTTGTCACATGCCTTTTACAACAGTCAAACTTTATTACCAATGCAGTCCGTACACGTAATATCATAGATATTTGTGGTTGGCGCTCTTACAAGATTAGATTAACTTAAATAAATTTTACGGCACCATATACCAAACAGGCTAGATTGGGTAAAAAGTTTATTCCATGGTGGCGGCATACACACTCGAGAGAGTAGTACCTAGCAAGAACCACACTAGTTAGAAACTCTAGCGAACAAAAGGGAAACAGAAGCCCTTTTTCACAGGCCTTCGGTATAAGCTACCCCGGTGCCCTTCAGCCACACCCCTCCCTGAATCAGGTCGGCGACTGTAAATTTTCGGGCCTCTGCGGCATTTGTGATGACATGATAACCCGGCCACTTGACCCGTTTGGCAGTGCCTGCACCGGGCCCTTTGTTCATGTACTCACCATAGTACAATGTTTTTTAGGCCTTTATCTCCTTCCATGGTGACCACCCGGCCGGGTCGATATGATCACCAAGGTTCGACTGCATGAAAACGGTCCTAGAGTACTCCTTCCACGGGCGGCCCAAGAAGGTCTTTACGGAACCCTTAACGGGCCCGAGGTCGGAGCTAGCGATCACGTTGCAGTTCTGGATGGAGGTCGCCGTGTTTTGATTTGGGTCCTCTCGGCCTTGGGCCGTGATCATGTTGTTCTGCCCGCTCATGGGCTTCCGGGCAACGATCCGGCAGTTCTGAAATACGACGGCGGCATTGCCGAAGATAAAGTCGACAGTGCCAGTGATGTAGCAGTCCCGGTAGAATTGGCGGAGGCTGTGGGCGTAGAGGGTGTCTTGGTAGGCGTCGATGCGGCAGCGGTTTATGACGGATTGGTCTGCTCCCACGCGAAGGGCCACGGCTTGGTGCTTCTGTGGGCCTGCGGTGTTCTGGAACCAGATGTCTTGGGCAATGAATCCATCGCCCACAGCAGCTGCATTGGTAGACCGCAGTTTAAAGAGTTAGTAGCGGATCTTTGCCTAGCGACAGCCAAGATGAGGCCCAGTTCAGTTGAGTTTTTGTAATCAAAACAAAGGTAATAAGACAGCCAGAAAGAGGCCCATGTTTTGGTCAGATCCATAATGACTATGTCAAATCAAAGAATTTTATTATCAAAGAATTCTGCAAGCTATATCTATGTCAAATATTGCTTCAAGAAATTATAGGAAGAAAATTACACCATAGATTTAGAGCTACCGTTGATTATGCTTCTTTGATGTAACTAGTCATCTTTTAGAAATTTAGTTTGTGGCCCAAGTCAAAAATTATAATTGCTGGTGATAAAAACTTAGTCCTGGGGTGGGTTTGATGGTGGCCGTAGGGTCCACCCCCTTTGAGTGGGAGAGGCACTACCGCCTGCATTAAGGATAAAAAAATTCCAAAATAGCGACCCACTTGGAAGGTTTAACCCGCAATTTCGGGACCTATATTGATGAAGCTTATTTTTTATGTTAAAAAGAAAATAAAAATTTTGAAAAGGTCAAAAGAAAAGAATAAAAGAACAATACAACAATAAACTAATAATAATAATAATATAGGGGATAAGATATTATACCAACAGTAGCAGTTTTGAAGGTGGTGGTTCCATCGACATAGTTCAAGCTACCGGTGATGATTGTGGAGTCCATGCCATCACCCACCAACATCAGATTCTTCTTCTTCTTCCCGATCTCCACATTCTCTTTGTAAATCCCTTTCTTCACATATATCACGTACCTCGTGTTGCTATTGTCCGGCGCAGCCGCCACTGCTTCCGCCACCGTCTTGTACTTCCCACTTCCGTCCTTCGCCACCACCACGTTGGCCTTCACTGCCCCGGGTCGTGCCTCCAGCAGCGGCAGGTCCAGGCTGGTGAGCCAGCTCGGGAAACCCCGGCCAAGCCGCCGGAAAACCTCCTCCTCAGCCATCGCAGGCGACACCGCCACCACCATAGCCAGGGCGGCTCTAGCCCTTGATACGAGTTTCCGGAGCTCTGGTTCTAATGGGGTCCGGACCGACGGGGCCAAGCCGTCCATGCAGGTAAAGTGATTGGTGAGCACGCTGCTCAGCCAAGCGTGGGCATCTGAGCGAGACTGGGCGGTTCGGCTCCCGAGAGCCGACACTGAATCTGTGACCCGGTCTGCTGACAGGTCCATCAGCTCGGCACAGTCCGCTAGGGCCGCTGACTCCTTCGGGTCGTTCACCCGACTGCCCATATCCCTTGCGGTGTCCATGAATTTTCTTATTTTGGTTGCAGACTTTTCCAAGAATATCTTTAATAATATGAATGTAGTGATAAAAATAACTTAAAGTCAGTCTCCTGTCTAAACACAATTTAAGGAAAGGAACACGCATATATGAACAAGACATGAGTCATTATATAGTATATAACAAAACTCCTACCTGCAGCAAATCTACACTGTCCATGTCGACCGGATTTTCAAAGGCAAGTTCAGACACCATGGCCCAGCATGATGCCCTGTCGAGAGCCCGGTCACAGATCCGGGTGGAGAGAGGGACAGAAGTGTTAAGGTTTACAAGGTTGGGAGTGAAAATAGCACTTAGGCCTGCTATGGCCGCTATAGAGAGAAGAACACATAAGGCTTTGCAAGGAGAGAATTTTCTCTTGGGTGTGTCTAGCAGAGGCTGGTGCGTTGTTGCCATGGCGAAGGTGAAGTGAGGTTGTCTTAAGTTTGGTGTCCTTAAATAGGCGTCCGGGAAGTAAAGAGATACCAAGTAGAGTGCATTTTCCTATGCCAGTCATCATGCACGTGCTGTCTTACATATTACAGTGTTACACTATTTGGCCGCATTAATGGACTAGGGGTTCTCCTCCTTTACAAAACCACTATTAATAAATCAACATATTGCAGATTTATTAATTGTTAAATTAATTTTCTTAATTTATTTTATTTTTAAAATACTTGGAATGATCAGCCTAATTTAAATGGTCAAAAGCCACTTTACCTTTGAAATGGGTATAGCGCCGACCCCAATTCCGAGGGAAATAATTATATAGTACCATACTCGAGAGTTTCAAATGTCCATCTCCTCGTGTCTCTCGTAAAGTATTTGTATAACAAATTTTAATCAGAAAAATTAAATAATTAGAAATGTAGAAGAGAGAAAGCAACCATACGAAAATTTAAGTAATGCGGTGACAGGGTTTCTATTCACAGAGGAAAAAAGTGATCGATAAGTCATTAAATTTTTATTAATTACAGTTTTGGTTTATAATAAAATAGAGATAAGTTACAATAAAAACATAATATTCTTTTATTTTTTTATGTTGTATAAAACTCCCTCTCATATATGAAATTAAACAAAACTCTCTTATATTTTAATATTCTCTAAATATTTTTCATATTTTTTTCATAATTAATTGTATTAAAGTATAATAACTAAATTAAAATTTTAATTAAAGAATATAAAAAATAAAAATTGATATACAAAAATAAGAAGATTTTGGAGATAAAAATAAAAATAAAGTGCAACAACAGATGGGGTGCCACAGCTTTTTCCCAGTCAATTGAAAATGTAAACTGATATTTTATTTAATTTATTGCATAAATAATCTCTAACACTACAACAGAGAGAGAGAGAGAGAGAGAGAGAGAGAGTTTTTAAATGTTTGAAAAATCATTACAACAAAAACAGAATTTCTCTAATTTTTACAAAAATTAAAAGAAAAGCTTTATTAAGAACTCCAGCATTGTCTAAGTTATAAATCAAGAAATTGTTTTATTTTATATCTTTATTTTTCTTGTATGTATAAGCAAAAACATTGTCAAATTCTCATTTTCTGTAATATTATATTAACCAGGTCCAGCACAAAGGATCAATCTTTCACGGGACAAAAATTAGTTGATGGAGATAGTCGTATGCCCTTACTGAAAATATTCTAGAATTTTACTCGTTACTTTATTTTTATTTTCTGTAAATTCTGGTCAAATGCTTATGATTTAACTATTTACTGTGACCATAAGGCGCTAGAAAAAGACCCAACATTATTAAACATAATAAGGTAAACTTTAAATGATTGAGTTATCCTTTTAACTGGCGTGCTTGCAACGGATGGCGTTTATGGTAATTTGCGAAGAATCCAGAACGCCAATTGCGACATTAGTGGATTCCCACGCGACGTGGATTTGGATGTCAGTAAATAAATATTTTTTAATAATTATTCTTAATCAAAACGACAGGTCACCAGGCAAATCCCATTGGATAAATTGACAGATAGTTGTCGTGACGGTGACGGATTAAATTAATCCCATAAAAAATTGCATCCGACACCCAAAAAAAATAAAAATAAAAATAAAAATTTCACCTCTCTCTCATTTGGTCTCTTCTGCATCGAAAAATCTAACCCAATTTTAATTTATTTTTTCAATACTTGCCTCCATAAATATGTTAATGCAACGTGATTCAATCCTGTTTGTCAACATGTCACATGGAGGAAAAACACATAATGCTTGCAATTTTTTTTTTCTTGTTTTAGTTCTCCTGAATTTCAGACATGTACATATTTTAAAATAATTCTCAACACTTATATTGATTACTTAATTTATTCACCTCGAAAATAAATAATCATAAAAATTTTTAGTTAATGATATAACAAATAGTGCTAGCAATTTATATTGGTTTATTGCATGTCTAATATTTTAAGTTCACCACAAGAGTTGGATTCGGAATAAAATATTTCTTAGCGTCAACAATTATAAGATAATAAAAAATTTAGCAGATCATGAGATTGGTTCTAAGTTAGATTATCATTATTTTTCTTTCGAGCATAGTTAATGCACGTGTTGAAACAGTTCTCATTTTTTAATTTATATGTATCTTGGGGGTTATACAGGGATTTTTTGGACTCCTGTGTGCTTTATAATTATTTTTGAACAAGTTGGTGGGAAAATTACTTCCAAGGCCTTGGAACACTATGTTGAATTAACCTGTGTGAGATTTTGATTTTTCTAATAACATTTGGTTCTTATATTTCATATATATTGTAATATTTTTAATTGCCCATGAATAAGTGCAATAATAATAATCTATAAAACCTGAGTGTTCATAAATCCATATACAATAAAATATTACAATCCATTTTATTCAAATATTATATATTTTTGTCAAAATACATATCTTTATTTATATTCATACAAAACAAATCTTGAGATACTTGACTATAATACAATTTGTAACAAACTAGTAACTGCTTATTCTAATAATTTGTTGAATTTAAATTATGGGCTCAAAATATTCAAATTTAAATTATTTAATAGTAATATTTACAATATTATATATAATAACATGATTTGAAGTTTATAAATCAATATAAAATAAAAATATCTCAAATAGAGTAGGTTTATTTTAATCTTTATTATTGATATCTTGGTTGCCCATAATCCCAGAAATGTAATAGTCACGACCCAACGTGGGATCGGACTGGTGCAAGAAATAAATTAATTAATTCATAATAAATTTAATTATGAGTGATAAGCCATTTAATTAAGGGAGAAATTTTTAAAAAATTTTAATAGAGTGTCTTCCAAATTATGGATATTTTTAAAAATTTTAAATATAGTACATAATATTATAATTTCTAATAGTAAGCCCAAATAGTTATATGCATATAATTACTAAATTATTTTCAATAAAAATTCAAATTTTCGCACTTAACATTCAAATTTATAAAATCCTATTTGTACACAATGGAGCAATTTTAAATTTCAAATATAGATAATTACATTCAACAAAGTCTACAGACAATCAAAGACTTAGTCCCATGTCTATGCCATAGTATGAGACTCACCACACTTGAAATTTTACAGGCAAACTAATGGTCTCGTACTAGAATCAACACTGGAATCTAGAGAAAAATTTTTAAAAAAATGATGAGAAAAATCTCAATGAGCAATAATATGTACAATTGTATTTACAAGAAAATAAGTATACTCCAAATCATTTCAAAGGCAGTGCTACGAGCTTGATCTCAAAGGTCACCAAGGCTTACAAAACATTTAGAGCAAATCTGAACATGTTGGTTGATTATATCGAGTTAGTAGCACTCTTACTAGTTAAGGCACAGATCAAGACGCACCAAAGATAATGTTATTGTAATTAGTTACAATGTTTTGTTAAAGTACCGTCCTTAAAAATCCTTTAGTTTACAATTCAAATTTTCACACTTAACATTCAAATCTATAAATCCTATTTGTACACAATGGAGCAGTTCTAAATTTCAAATATAGATAATTACATTTAACAAAGTCTATAGACAATCAAAGACCTATTCCCATGTCTACGCTATAGTGTGGGACCCACCACACTTGAAATTTTATAGGCAAACAAATGGCCTTGTACTAGAATCAACACTGGAATCTAGATAAAGATTAAAAAAAAATGGTGAGAAAAATCTCAATAAGTAATAATATGTATAACTGTGTTTACAAGAAAACAAGTACACTCCAAATCATTTCAAAGACAGTACTACGAGCTTGATTCTAAAGGTCACCAAGGCTTACAAAACATTTTGAGCAAATCCGAACGTGTTGATTGAACATATTGGGTTAGCATCACCCCTATTAGTTAAGGCACAAATCAAGACGCACCAAAGTTAATGTTATTGTAATTAGTTATAATGTTTTGTCAAAGTACTATTCTTAAAAATCCTTTAGTTTACAATTCAAGTTCATAATCGTATTACATCTATTATTAGTCAAAATTTAACAAAATTTAAGAATGTAGCAAACTTGTCTCAATTTTTTAATTTAATCTTATAAATTCAAAATCTTTTGTTTTAAATCTAATTTCACATTCATATTAATATAAAATCAATTCTTTTATAAAACAGGTAAAAATAAATATTGTAGTAAATATTTCATAGAATCAAAAAAATTTTATAAAAATTCTCATAAAAATACATATTTTCACTCACATTATACCCAAACACAATATTATCATATGTTGTGCTACCATATAATTTATAGTACCAAGAGACAATTATTTCAAAGAATTTATATGAATCAGAATTACATGAGTCAAAAACGCACACTCAACTGTATATGTAATGCCTTGAGCTGATATAACAACTTTTAGTCCTAAAAACTCTTTAACCTCCTTAACCCCAAATGTAACACTTGCTAAGCATGGAAATAATAACTATAATTTCCAGCAACCTTTCTTGCCCATATTCCTAACTGATTTGAGCTAACTAACTCGCCACACTTTTATACATAGGAAGGTGGGAGACTTAATTTAACAAAAGTGCCTTATCCATTTTAGACAAATAAAAACGAATCATTTAATTCACTAACAGGGCAGAAGCTTTGCTTGAGCCGAGTGTGCATCGAGGGACCACAATTCTATTTTTATCAACTC